AAACCAATGGTAGCATGTGCACCTGATGACTATGTGCTCTTTGTCTTCGGTGTGCGTCTTGTCATTTGACGCAAATCATAATGATGCGACGGTATTAGAAGAATGTTTTGAAAAATACAAAGGTATATTAGCCATATTACAAAAAATTTATGCCATTGTGGTCGATAGTAGATTTCGTGATATTCTTAAATACTTTATTGAATAAAAGAAAATGTTTGCTTATATTTCTGGCGTTGGACAACATGATAGTGACTTTGGAAGTGAATAGGCAAGATTCGTTACTAAAATCCGATGGATTATCGAACAAGTATTTGGTAAAGTTAAAAAGAAATTTAAAATGTTGGCTTTGCCAGCTTATAACGCTACTTCAATTTATGATTACGAAATTCTTGAAATTGCTTTTGCACTCTTTAGCTTATTTTATGAACCCATCGTGAATGATAAAACACATGAAGATATTGCACGTCTAATGAAATCAAGATTGAATGTTTCAAACCATTTGAAAAGTATTGTTGAAAAATACAATCTTTCTCAAATTCAAATTTCATATATTGAGGTTAACTATGTGACAATTGATAATGAGGAGAATAATCAACTCCTCCAATTTTCGCAACAGAGAATGACATATTATATCAGTTTTGGTTCTTATCAAATAAAAAATGCTGTGTCTATTGTGCTATTATGCAGAACATCTAAATGAAAGTACCTTTTTTATTCATAAGTTTGTTTCTGATTCATGTTATCGGACTTTGAATTTAAACTATGCCGAACATAGTCTTAACATCATTGGGAGTTCACCAAAGCCAGGAAGCGGCTCGGGGCTAAAGGCACAGTTCCGGGCCTCGATGGAAACTTGGCTGAGCCTGGGTTTTGGCTCTCACCGACGAGAGCCTGCCCGCGTCGATGAGACACCTATTTTCGAGGTGCCCAAGGAAGGGGACTTCTCCTTAGCATGGAGGAGGGCTAAGCTGGTCCGAAGGAGGGTAAAGCACCTGGCAGTCTTTCGGTCTAGAGGCCGATTTGCTTGTTGGACGAGGTCGGCAAAATGCTTGAGTGTATCATTGCTGACCGCCTCGTCCAACATCTGTCCGGGGTGGGGAGGGTCCGGACCTCCATAGTCATCAATATGGTTTCCGGGCAAGCTCGCCCCGGAGACCGTGGAGGTCAAGGGCGGGGTATTGTTGGCGGTGTCATTGGACATCACCAATGCCTTTAACATCCTGCTCTGGCCGGAGGTAGGGCTGGCCCTTGAGTACCAGGGAGTGCCCGTCTACTTCCGGCGTGTACTTGCAAACTACTTCAGGAACAAGGACCTCGCCTACATGTCCAGAGGCGGGATCCTAGGCCGAACCAGGACCATAGACCAACCAAGGACCATGTATCGCGGTGTCCCGCAGGGGTCTGTATTGGACCCCCTGCTATGGGACATCGCATACGACCGTGTGCTGAGGACTGCCTTCCCCCCGGCTGCCACGTCGTCTGTTACGCCGACGACACACTTGTGGTGGCGGGGGGTAGGAGCTGGGAGGAAATTCGCCTCCTTGGTGAGGCCGCGGTGAATAGCGTTGTGGACTCTATCCAGAGTCTTGGACTTGCAGTGGCGCCCTAAGACGGAAGTTATACTTCCATGCACCCAAGTGCCGCGCCCCCTCCCACAAACGGAGTCGGGGGCGCGGCGCTTCGGCCGCGGCCGGTCGCCTGGCCAAGTTGGCCTTCTGGTTTTTAATTGGAGAGAGGGGACACCCACTCAGTGATGACAAGTCATGGGAAAAGTCGCGCATGCGTATTGAGCAAACGCTGTGGTAGCTTCACGGACGTATATATTTGAAGGTATTGTTAAGTCCCCACTATGAGGGAAATGTGAAGGAAATTATAGGGAAGGAAAAACATTTCTGTTCGATAAATATAATATAGTTTATACTAGGTGCGCAACTAAGTTTCTGGGTCTCACACATGGATGGCGCTAACGACATATGTAGTCGACATACATGTCTGATGTTGTGTTTTTTTTATAGCTTGGACATCTGTTAACAATAACCAGTCGTAATACCAACACACATCGCAACGCAAAAATATTTTTTCTAACAACGAAGATATCGAGTTTTGTGCCAAATAAACAGCATTTGCGGAAAACTTTGCATTTCTGCTTTAACTTGAAAACAAGTGCAGCTGAAGCATGTCGTTTGCTTGAGGAGGCCTATGGCGAACATGCACCATCGAAAACTACCTGTGCAGATTGGTTTAAACGCTTCAAAAGTGGCGATTTCGACACTGAGGATAAGGAGCACTCCGGAAGACCAAAAACAATTGAGGACGCTGATCTGCAAGCGTTATTGGATGAAGATGATACGCAAACACAAGATTAACTTGCGGAGGCATTAAACATGATTCGCCAAGATATTTCCAAGCGTTTACATGCCATGGGAAAAATTCAAAAGGAAGGAAAATGGGTGCCGCATGAATTGACTGAGAAACAGATCGAAGAGCCACTTCCGAAATTTTGCTTTTGCGGCATGAAAGAAAGAGTTTCCTGCATCGAATTGTTACTGGCGATGAGAAGTGGATATATTTCGAGAATCCCAAACGCAAAAGATCGTGGCTTTCACCTGGCGAAGCATCAACATCGACGGCACGGCCAAATCGCTTCGGAAAGAAGGCAATGTTCTGCATTTGGTGGGACCAGAAAGGTATCGTGTACTATGAGCTGCTGAAACCGGGCGAAACTGTCAATGGGCATCGCTACCGACAACAACTGATCAATTTGAAACATGCATTGCTCGAAAAACGGCTAGAATGGGACACGAGACACGAACAAGTGATATTGCAGCACGACAACGCTCTGTGCCATCGCACTTCCATCGTCCAGGACACCATCAAAACGCTGAAATGGGATCTGCTACCGCACCCGCCGTGTTCGCCAGACCTGGCCCCTTCCGATTATCACTCGTTCCGGTCGATGGCACATGGCTTGGCTGGGCAACACTTGGCCAATTTCGAAAAAATGCAAAATTGGTTGGATGAATGGTTTCGGTCCAAAGACGCGTCGTTTTATCGTAGCGGTATTCATGTATTGCCAGAGAGATGGCAAAAATGTGTAGCTAGCGAAGGATGATACTTTGAATAAACCATTTTTTGTATTTCTCTTGAAATTTTCCATTTTTCATTGATCAAAATACCCGGAAACTTAATTGCGCACCTAGTATAATGTAGTTTATATATGAATCATAAAAGATAATAATAAAATTTATTAATTTGTAATTTTTTTACATCTGCAGTCAATATATTATATTAATTATTCCTATTGCGTTTATTATCACAGCTTTTTCTTAACTTATCACTAAACTTATCGCTTCTCCAATTTATTATAACACTTTACATTATGAATACGTAACGTAAGTACTCGTGGAGAAAACGCGGGGCAACTGTAACGGACAAACATGTGGGACTTTTCGTGCGCACTATTTACGCCTACTATCTGCGCTTACGTCCACCACTGGAAACGCTTGCAACGAGCTCTGACGTCATGTTCACGCATGCGCAAAACGGCTCTCATATGGGAAAAATTTCCATGACTTGTCATCACTGCACCCACCTTCTCTCCTAGCCCTTCTCTTTAGCCAAGGGGGGCGGGGGAAGCTCTACGCCCCTATCGAGTTCGTGTGTTATAATTATGGGACCTTGTATACAGGGTATCTCAGAACTGTGACACACAGGCTCCATAGGAACGTAGAGCTAAGTGAGAGGAACAAAAAAGTCCTCTACCATAATGTGAAAATCGTAATAGTTTTTTAATTATAACAACGCAAAGTTAGGCGTTTTCCACGCGCAGCGCGGGCTATAGACGCTCCGCGGCAAGCTGTGTGCGGAGGGGTTGAGCGATAACGCGTCTTGGCAACGCGAGCCGCGTTACCGCTTAACCCCCACGCACACAGCTTGCCGCGGAGCGTCTATAGGCTACGCTGGGCGTGGAAAACGCCAAACTTTGCGCTGTTATAATTAAAAAACTATTATGATTTTCACATTATGGTACAGGACTATTTTGTTCCTCTCACTTACCTCTATGTCCCTACAGAGTCCGTGTGGCAAAGTTCTGAGGCCCCTGTATATCCATATACAGGATGTATATGGATCCCATTTTAACTTTCGCATTAAAAAATCTCGAAAACTATGATATTAAAAAAAAGATATTAAAAAAAGCTAAAACACGTTTTCCATGATTTCGAAGGGGAAAGAGAATGGCATTATCAGTTTTTTAAGTTAAATATTGAAAAAGTTATCAAGTTTTCCTCAAATATTTCAAAAAATATTAGACAAATAAAAAATGTTTTAGATAAAAGTTGTTAAAATTAATTGGTAGAAAAAGAAGATATAATAAAAAACTGAGCTTCCTATTTTAAAAAATTAAGTTGACTTTCAACTGACCTTGAAAATGGCCTTCAAATAAAAACTGATAATGCCATTCTCTTTCCCCTTCGAAATTATGGAAAACGTGTTTTAGCTCTTTTTAAAGTCTTTTTTTTAATATCATAGTTTTCGAGATTTTTTAATGCAAAAGTTAAAATGGGACACCCTGTATACATGTGTATATGTTTGTGTAACTATTTATCTTTTACACATTTATACTAACATGTATACCTATAAATAATCATATACCAGCGAGCGAATCCGTTTTTTGGATATATTATGTAAGTTTCCATTCCAATGTTTTAAAACAGCAAATACGTAAGTTTGTGAAATCAACAACTTTGATCCTCCATATCTTGAGAATAAGAAGCCGGCTCAATCTGAAACTTTCTAAGGATTCATAATTTATTATTAACTATCATTCAGTACCAAGTAGAAATCTAAATTTAAGGGTAGGATAAAGGTAAATTCAAGATAAAAGGGCTATTTTTGCGGTTATTCTTTGTTTACAAAACTATTGAAAGTTTTTGGAGTTTTATATAATTAAGAAGGCCAGTATCTTAATAATTTTTTTGTAAATACTTGAATTCATTTAGATAGCCGTACACGACAATGAGGATTTCTTGCGACCAAGAAAGTCAATCGAAAATATGCTTAAGCATATAAAAGCAGCAAGTTGTAATGCGTATATTATACTAATCGCCAATGGATTCTTGACGTTGCAGTTCTTACAATATGCTGAAAGGTGTGTTATCTATATTCAACGCGATAACTGATAAGATAATCTAAAAATGCGATTGTCAGTGACAGGAAGGAATCAAGTTAACGCCAAAGTTTATTGTTAATAATGCTTAAATCGATATACATAATAATTGAGTCAATGTCTGAGTCGTTATATTGTATATATTGAGTCTGAGAAAAAGTTCGTGGCGTTTTTTTAGTAAAATTCAACTGGTTTTCTTATAGTGTGAAAATGAATTTATTTAAACCAAATCCATTATTATCGACAATGTTTCGCCATTTTTCGAGTAGAGCCATGATACCATCGGTGAAGAACTTCTGTGGTTTCTGGTTGAAAAACTGAATCAAGTGGTTTTCACAGGCTTCTTTTGAAACCAGCTTAATTCCATTGGGAGAGTTCTGCAGAGATCGGAACAAGTGATAGTCAGAGGGTGCTATGTCTGGACTATACGGTGGATGCATCAAAACTTCCCAAACAAGCTCTCGCAATTTTTGATGGGTCATCAAAGAAGTGTGTGGTCGGGCGTTGTCATGATGGAAGACAACACCTTTCCTATTATTCAATTCGGGCCGTTTTCTTTCAATTGTCTGGCGTAATCTCTCTAGTTGTCCACAGTAGAGTTGAGAATCAATCGTCTGACCAACTAGGAGTAGCTCATAGTGGATGATTCCCTCCTAGTCCCACCACACACACAGCATCACCTTTTTCGGCGTCAATCCTGGCTTCGCGAACGCTTGTGACGGCTCACCATCCCTTGTCCACGATCTTTGACGCTTCCGATTGTCGTACGTGATCCATTTTTCATCACCGGTTATGACACGTTTCAGAAATGGCTCGATTTCATTGCGTTTCAGTAGCGCATCGCAGATGTTAATTCGGTCTATCATGTTTTTCGCGCTCAACTCATGAGGAACTCATACATCGAGCTTCTTTTTGTAGTCAGCTTTGTGTAAATGGTTCAAAACAGTTTTGTGGTCAATGCCTAGCTCCATACCAATATCGACACTGCTGATATGCTTATCTTGCTGGACTTTTTGAAGAATTTCATCAGCTTTTTCAGTGATTGGACGACCAGAGCGTGACTCATCTTTCACATCAAAATTACCAGAACAAAAGCGAGCGAACCATTTTCGCGCAGCAGATTTTGATAAAGTACCTTCACCGTACACAGCACAAATTTTTTTCACAAGCCTGCGCAGCGTTCTTCCCTTTGTCGTAATAATATTGCAAAATATAGCGTAATTTTTCATTACTTTTCTCCATTTTCAAACGCAAACAACTTTCCAACCAATTTCGATGTTTATACACTCAAAGTAACGCTTGAAGTGTCACCTTTCCAACGAGCGTTTGGTGGTGTCGCTGCGATCTGTGTTTCCTGAGTTATTTGCAATTGACGCCATCTATCCGGAAAAACGCCACGAACTTTTTCCCAGACCCAATATATACAGGATGGTCCATTTTAATCGACAATCGGAAATATTTCGTCAGGTAAGGCAGATCGCGAAAATGTTTCAAATAAAAGTTGTAGGGGTTAATAGGGGACGCACATTGATGACCTTGATTTTGACCTGAATCTTGAGGTCAACTTTCAAGGTTATCTGAAGGTCAACTTTGATTTTTCAGAACTGTTTTTAGAAGCTTGTATATACAAGGTGCTAAATTTCAAACATAACAGGTAAAAAATCTCGAAAACTAAGAAAGATATTAAAAAAAGCTAAAACACGTTTTCCATGATTTCGAAGGGGAAAGAGAATGGCATTATCAGTTTTTTATTTGGAGGGCATTTTCAAGGTCAGTTGAAAGTCAACTTAATTTTTTAAAATAGCCCAATTTTTTATTATATCTTCTTGTTCTACCAATTAATTTTAACAACTTTTGTTTGAAACATTTTTTATTTGCCTAATATTTTTTGAAATATTTAAGGAAGACTTGGTAACTTTTTCAACATTTAACTTACAATATCTTGCTAACTATTCGTCGAAAGAAAAAATAGCATTAGACTTTTTTTTATTTACTATCAAGAATATATTACTATAATAGTGTCCTAATTACTATAATAGTGTTCTTTTGTTTACTTACTGATTTTTGGAAATTTCAGAATCATCAAATTAACAGAATTCAGGGCGCTATTGTAACAATATATTCTTGAAACTAAATAAAGCAAGAAGTCTAGTACCACTTTTTCTTCCGACAATTAGCGAGATATCGTAAGTCAAATATTGAAAAAGTTATCAAGTTTTCCTCAAATATCTCAAAAAATATTAGACAAATAAAAAAATGTTTTAGACAAAAGTTATTCAAATTAACTAGTAGAAAAAACAGTATAATAAAAAATAAGGGTTCCCATTTAAAAAACGCAAGTTAACTTTCAAATGACCTTGGGAATAGAGGTCAAGGTCAAAGTTAAGGTCATTATAAGGTAGCTCACTTAAATCTCTACAACTTTTATTCAGATCATTTTCCTTGAAACTTCAATATTGAAGAGTTATTTGAGGTGGGACATTAAAATGGGACACCCTGTATAATAAGACAGATATTATTGTATATGTGTATATGTGTGCGTTATATTTTTGTCCTATAAAAAGATAATAAAAATATTAAAAATATTATAGAAATATTATAAAATATGCTGATACATAATATTATAAAAAAAAATAAAAAAAAGTTGACACTGCGAGGATTCGAATCACTCCTCGGACATAGACGACAAAGTATTAGCGCGCGCCTTAGCCTCCGCGACTACCGCACTTCACGCTTATTGATTCAAAATTACTACACTTAACATATAGCTGTTTTTTTAATTGCAAATTTCTCGCAAATGAAGGCCCATGCACGCAAATACTTTTAGAGTTTTTATGTGTACTCAACCCTCCATTCGAATGAAATATAACTCACTCAATTATCGATTTTACATGTCTTGCCATCTCTTATGTAAGCCAGTCATTCCAGCAGATATAATGAGAATTTTCACCTCTTTAATGCCCTTATTTGTATTATCAAACGTTTTCTATGTTTGCCGCGTCCAAGAGTTCAGACATAAAACAGATCTCTCATGAGTTACAGATAAAAAAGCATTTTTGAACCATTTGATGATAAGGTTAGATGTCAGTTTCCCAGATTTTGAAGGGTAAACACAAATATGGTCAGTTTTGTAAATTGATTTTTCTATCATAAGTCCGAATTCTCCATTTGTTTTTTGCAAGACTATCAGTAAAGGTGATTTCAATATGCCGTCTGCGGATATAATCAGTTGTATTGTGTAATTATAAGTTAAAGAATTCAGAGATTGAGCAACAGATTCAATCTTTAATGATCCTTTTAAGGAAGGTGTACGACCAGCATGTGTTTCGAGATTGAAACCCGATTGATCGGAATTATAGACATTGGCTTCTCCTACTACACGAATCTCTGATTTTACTTTGTTTACGAAATTAGAAGCCTCTTACGATAGTGCGATTCTACCTGACAACTGTGTTTGAGTCACAAATTTATTTATTTTTCTGGAAACGATCCCATGATGTATTTAAAAATGCACTCATCTCGATGAAGCCTTAAATAATTTGAAAGGCAATTGAACATCCTCTTTAGCCTTCAATGCCCATCTTTTCAGATCTACATCATGAATAAGTAGACATCTATCAGATGCGCTATTAAATTGTTCTAATACGTACTTATAAATATGAAGTCATTTGTCAGTTCTTGCCCCACCATTATCTACGTGATCTTCCCATCTGTACAGCATCCTCTGATGTTTAATTTTTACGAATCGACCTTACATTGTTTCCAAACTTCTCTTTTCTTCCCTGAACGCCAAAATTCTACTGCCCTTTTCTTATACTCAAGATGTATAAAATCTCCTGATTCTTCATCGTCTTGAATAGAGTCTTGAAAATCGTCGTCTGGCTCATTTTTTATTATAACAGCTTCAGGAATCACGCTAGAATCATTGTAGCATAAAGTATCATAACTATCCATGAATAATTGACTATCAGCAGAATCTTTTATCAAACCTGCTAGATAAAAAGCAAATTATTTTTCCTCAGCAGTTATACTGGATTCGATACCTTTTGTATACTGGATCCTCGAAAGTGCGACCCAATAAATTCAAAATATTTTTTGGATTTATCGGCATTATGAGGTTCTAATTGTAAGTTTGCAGTTGAACAAAAACAGTAAAAAAACAATAAAAACAAAAAGGATTAAATAAGCATACATGTTTTTGAATGCTATACATAAACATCCATTGCAGACATTAGTCATAAAAATTTAGAGAAAATTGCTTTTGTCAATGTACGATGGTTGTTAGTAAAAAATCTGAATGGGAAGTCCCATGAACAGATTTTTAGAAGGAAAAATGGAAAATGATATGGTTCAAGCTCCATAAAAATCTCCAATATTGCATTTAGGCGCGAGTATGTTAAGCAGCTGCACGCATGACATAAATTGACGCATGCGCAAGAGGTTCCATGGGAATAAATGACCCCAACCTTGCCAGCGCATATTTTACAGAAAAATACCCGTTTGTTCTCATTTCGAAATTTTTGCTGTAATATTTCGAATATTTCTGCATATGCTGATCATGGCATCATACAATCCTTCTCCGACGATTGAGATGTTTTATTCATTGCTTAAATATGTTATATAACTGAAACCACACAGCGCAGTTCATGCTGAACGCAAGTTATGTTAACGAATAAGGATTGACGACGCGCGACGAAAATATCCAATAAGTGTACAATTTCTTTCTTTTAAAGAAATATAGGTCGCGTTCGGAAAGAAAATTATCAGCGCTATTGCGTCATTTTATTCTTGTTTTACATCTAATGGATGATAAAGATAGATGATACAATAGCGCGTTTCTCAAATGCAGCCAAAATAATTGTATTATTGGACATCAAGTATCACATACCGTGCTAGTCTATCAAAAACTTAAATTTGAAATATATAAAGTAACTATTAAAGTAACTATTAAACTATTAGTTACTAGTTATCAAATAAATATAACTAAGTTAAATTATAGTTACAGATGAAAAAACGAAACGAAATTAAGTTACAGTTACCAAAAAAAAGAACTGTAACTGTAATTTCGATACAAGTAACGAATTACTTTCCAACCCTGGTTTCCACGAGCTTTGTAACAATTGTTGAGACACCCTGTATACATCATTTTTTACATACATTTCTTTTAATTTCCTTTTTTCAAATTTTTTTACTTCTTAACTGTTTACAATGTTTACAACTGTTTACAATGGATCTATTCTGTCACGTTCTAATTTGCGTTTCACTTTCACAGAGAACGTCTTCTTGACACGCGAGGCTACTTTTTGCTCTTATATGATAGTCGGCTTTTCAAATCAGATTTGCATTACATCTGGAACAGAATCGTCAACGTAGTATTTGTGCGGCGTTATAGCACATATAGATATCGTTCGGGTGAACGAATTCTTATCGAGCGTATTGACCTCACTACCGTTTATTATCCATCGCGCGAAAGACACGTCACGGAAATAAGGCACATCGACATGTGGTATGACGGCAAATTGCGTTACGGTAATGATCACTACATATCAAAAACTACGAATCTTCACGGCAATGACTTACGGTCAGTAGCGTCTTCATTTGATGAATCAAATCTTTATAGTGCGAAGATGAATTTAAATTCATGATTGATAGTCGCATGTTAGAAAAATACCATCTCAGGAAATATAATGATAATAATTCTATGTTTTTACTTAGATTTATTTTTCCTTTTATTAATTTCTTTTATTTTTAACATATTATAAATTTCCTTAGAAATTAAATACCTAAGAGCTCCAATATAGTTTCATCTAGTTCATTCATTCATTGTTCATTGCTTTAACTTCCAAATGAAACTATTGGACTTGTAGAGTCGCGGTTTTCGAGCATATACCAACTGTGACAGAAGCTTCACGAGAATACTATGAACAAAGCTCGAACGGAAACTTCAAGGCTTTGGGTGTCGAGTTCGAAGTATGTGTTAAGTCCAAAGGAACTGTTATATGACAATAGATAGAAAAAACAATTGCAAAATATACAATGTAAAATACAATGCAAAAGGAGTATTCTTTTTTCCAGTTAATCCAAATCATAGCAAAAGCGATGAATTTCAAAGCGAATTACTATATGCCGCTCAATATTGCAAATGAAAAGTGGGGTAAAGCAGGCGATAACGATACTTACACCGGTCTTCTCGGCGAAGCGATCAATGGAGACGCCGATTTCTTCCTCGGAGATCTACATTATACGATACATCATCTGAATTATCTCGACTTGTCCACATCATATAACACAGAGTGTCTCACCTTTTTGACGCCAGAAGCATTGGCCGATAATTCTTGGAAATTACTGATATTACCCTTCAGGTATACCATTATCGATAGTAACACTATTTTCATATTGTTTATTGTTATATGCTTTAGAGTTAACATTCATCGCATTTTCAGACCGTATGCGTGGTTAGCACTGTTTTTCACCCTGCTATTGGGTAGCGGACTTCTCTATCTGTTCGCATTATTCTACCAAAAGTATATAATCTCGTATAAATACATAATCCACATGAAGAACGAAAAATTGAACAAATACGACATTTCGAAAGATCTTTATGAGTTCACGGACTTCCCAAGCAGTTTGTTATATACGTACAGTATACTGCTTCAAGTATCTCTACCACGTTTACCGGATGCATGGCCGATGAGGATCCTCATCGGTTGGTGGTGGATCTTTAGCATTTTAGTGGCCGTTATTTACCGCGCCAGCATGACGGCCACCTTGGCAAATCCTTTCGTTGTGTAAAGTATACAACACATAAAGAATACAAGATTCTTTTCGTCAAAGACTCTGGAATTATTCGTGTTCCCGCACACGTTTCTTCCATTCTCTTTATATTTCCATATTTAACATTGTTTATTTAATTATCATTGCAGAATGACTATAGATACCTTGGCACAATTAACAAAAGCGTCATTGCCTGTAGGAGGGTGGAGCGAGGAAAGCAAGGATTTCTTTCTCGTCTCCACCGATCCGAACAGCCAAGAAATCGGTAGCAAGTTCGAGTTAACGAACAACGAACAGGAAGCTGTCGAACGGGTGGCCAATGGAACATTCTGTTACTATGAGAATTCATATTTATTGCGACATCTTCGCGCTAAACAAATACTCGAGAAGGGTAAACAAAAGAATAAAAGTGAAGAGAACATCGGATTGACTATCAAGTATAATTTACACATTATGAAAGAATGCGTCGTCCACATGCCGATTGCATTAGGATTAGAGAAGAATTCTCCGCTGAAGCCACGTGTGAATATATTGGTATTTTGTTCTACGGTATTAATCCTTAAGAGCACAACAGTTTTGTTTGATATCATAAACTTTTATTTTTTGCAATAATTCTACATATTTATATAGGGTGTACGAAAAGTATCGAAACCCCATAATATCTCGAAAAATATGTATTTTAGAAAAAAATGTTTCATATAAAGCAAGTAGGGTTTTATAAGGCGCTTTATATAGTAATATTATTATGACCTTAAATAGTTGTCAAGGTCACGAATATCATCTAAAATTTATTAAATGGAACGCTCTATTTTTCATTACATATCCTTGTAGCTTATCTCTCGAGGGTTTTCCAAAATACTATAATTAAATGTTTCTCGTTAGATATTTTTTGAATTACAAGAGTTAAAAGTTGCAGTTATTACCGCCGGCATTACCATTATCCAAGGTATACCGCGTGGAGGTTGCATGGTCAGATTTACACTTCTTTTGTGTGTGTGTGCGTGCGTGCGTGCGCGCGGGCGAGCGACAAGTGTCCTCGTATATACATACATACATATATATTTTTATTTAAGTTTGCGTAAATACCGCTACATATTTCTAAACGTGGTCTCCAGATCTTTCCTCGCTAGACTATTTCCTTTGGGATTATCTCAAAAGTAAAGTCTACAACACAAAGCCTCAGAACTTAAATGAACTCCGTCGTCGAATAAATGACGAGATACATTTGATACCCCCCATTTTTGCGAAAAATGCTATTTCCAATTTTTATACTAGACTGGCACATTGTCAGATTGCAATGGCCAGCAATTTGAGCATTTATTATGAATGCAAACGCTCAGAAACATATAGCGGTATTTATGCACTTAAATAAAAATATGGATGTATGTATGTACACAAGGTCAGAGCATGTGTCCGGGCTCGGGAGACAAATGAGCGGGTCTCCCCGTGGTTCCCCGTGGACGTGGCGCGCAAGACGTGGCATGACTTGATAATTATCGTGAATATCGCAAAATAGTATGAAACTTTTATGTTTGTCTTAACCAGCTCCATATCTCCACGAGCTCTCTAAATTGTTCTGCGACATTCTATATAATACAAGGGTCTTTATGTTTCAGGTGAGACGCATGATGGAAATTGGTTTAGTACAGAAATGGTTAAACGATGTTATAGAGTGGTCAAAGATTACCGAATCGCAACAAGAATCGGAATCGGAAACAGCGTTGGTGGATCTGTCTAAGTTGCATGCCGCTTTCATTGCTCTTATAATTGGTTATTTTCTTAGTTCTATAGTTTTGTTATGCGAAATACTACATTGGAAATACGTCGTTCTAAAAGATCCCATGTATGACAAATATTATTTGGATATATTTTATAAAAACAATCATAAATTGAAAAGTTGAAACAATCTTACTTTCAAACTTTATATTAGGAGTTAGTAAAATAAGTTAGTTATATATAGTTAAGTTATATAAGTTAATATAATAAGTTATATAAGTTAGTTATAGTGTAGTTAGTTAAATAAGTTTTAGCCTTCTTTTTGAAGTCTTGAAACTTATTTAAACGCTGAATATTTTCATACCTATTTGCGCTTTTGTAGTATGGACATTGAAATATTCTAAATGTTATATACAGGGTGGTTGATTATAAGTTGCCAACCCGAAATATGAAGGTAGATTGGGTTAAGATAAACATAAAAGTCCCATACCGTTTTACGAGATTCGCAATAATTATCGAGTTATTAATGACAGAAATCTGGAATGACAGAATTATTAATGACAGAAATGAGGAATGGGAGCGCGCCGACATAGATAATTGGAGAAGCGTTGTAACTGCTTAGGCCGCAGCGCGGCCCAGTTGATCCAGAAACTGTTGCCGGTGCGCGGCGAGGGGAAAGACAATGCGCTGCTATTCGTTGTTTTATCTTGCCGGACCTACGTCTCGCCGTACATGGCGAGGACAACATTTTGGTAAAATGCGTGTTAAAAACTCGATAAGTGTATTGAGTCATAATGTAAGCTCTGGGCTCCAATATTTATCAGAAGATATTTCTAAGCCAGACTATTTAACAACAGCATGGTTTGTTGAGCAAATTACAAAATGGTTTGATTTGATGACTAATCGTAACCCTGCATTAGCTTTGTCTATGTTAAAACCACACAAATATTTTGAAACAGTTAAGTTCTTAAATACAATAATTGTTATTTTTAGTAAAATGGAAATTGGGATACCATCTGTATGGAAACCAATTCAAACTGCTGTTTTAATCGCAATCACATAATTCCTTCAATTATCAAAGCATTTTTTGAATGAAGTAGGTTTTCATTTCGTACTTTCAGGAAGATTCACACAAGACTGTATCGAAAATTTATTTTTCTTAATTAGAATGAAAAATGTAACTCCGAATGCTCTCCAGTTCAAGAACAATTTAAAATTGACTATGGTTGCTCATTATATGAAAAATATATCTAGCAATAGCTATTTTGAAGATAAACGAGAATTTTTCAGTGTGTTCTTGAACATTGTAAGACAGAATAAAAATACGCATATTGCCGAGAAAGAACCTTCAGTAAACGAAATTTCAAATAATTTTATTCTAAATTTACCTGAAAAAGAAATTAATCTTTCCAAAATTGAAATCAATTGCTTACATAATATTGCCGGGTACATTATGACCAGTATTAAACGAAATGTAAGAACTTGTGAAAACTGCATGCAATAAACAGGTTCTAAGCAATCACCTTCTTTTTATTACAATCGATTAACAGAAATAAGATGTTACAAAGGATGCAACTTATTTTTTATTAATCCGCATACTTTCCACTTTTTTCTTGAAATGGAAACTATTTTTAGCAAATATTACGATTATGTGCGCTTACAAAAGCGCTTACACGTTAATTTAAAACAGTTTTTTATAAATCAGTTTAATGAAATTAATTATTCCTTACTCGCATGTCATAATTTAAAAAATAAAATAATTTTGCGGTTTTATATGGTGCGTGTAAAACTTTCTTCTACTTAAAACTTAAAATGTCAAAGAAAAAATTTGCAAGCAAAAGTATGACTATGCATACTACCATAAAGTAAAACATTTTTATTTATAACATTTATTATAATATTTATTACAAATTTTATTTTGACTTTATTGCAAATTGTTTTCTTAACATTTAAATTTTATATTCATGTTCATATGTTTATGTTTACATATTTATATTATATGTTCATGTTATCATGTTATGTTCATAATTGCATGTTCATGTTTACATATTTATATTATACATTCATATTAGCATTTTATGTTCATAATTGCATATTCATGTTTACATATTTATATTATATGTTCATATGGTATGTTTTTATTACATGTTTAAATATATAACATTATTTCTATTCATATCGTTATTACTAAATGTTATTAACATTTATTATTAATAAATTTTATTTAGGTATCATCAATGAATCCACTTCATTATTACCCAAGTAGGAAGATAATGTCTAAAAACTTCTTAATGACGTCAATAATACATCATTAAGACGTCTTTAAATGTTATCCTTCTTTTTGGGTACAGAGTCGTATGTACAGATATCGTATGTAATTAATCTTCATTAATTGTACATCGAGATAACTTAACATCAAGATAATCAAAATCTTACGGTTTGTATCTTATACTCTTATATTGTTTGTATTAATATGTAGAAGAAAGAAAACTTATGTTAAGAAAGGTGAATAAGGAACAAGAGAAACTTTCTGGATACCGATAAATTAATAAAAGAAAAGAATTAAGAAAGATTAAAAATAAAGGAGAACACATCTTTTAAGTAGATAATATAACAGATTTGAAGGGGAGAGACTATGAAACACTTTCTTTATTACAGTAAATAGAATGGAGTAATAACCCAGACAGCACAATGTCCAAAACTGGGACATAAGACGTTTTTAAGATGTCTTTAAGACGACTTAAAGATGTCTTATTTTCAGACATCTTAAAGACGACTTAAAGATGTCTTAAAGATGTCTTATGTCCCAGTTTTGGACACATGTACTGTCTAGGAAGGATGCCTGACAGTTACAAATATCGTTGGAGAAGGTTAAAGGTACGGTTCCTGCACGGCACCAGAAAAGGAAAGAAATATTGTTTATATTATACTTTATGACGTTTTCTTAACATCTCCAATGTCAACACAATGTCATTAAGTTACTTTATTACTTTATTACTTTGCTATTTGTGAAATTGTATTATCATCATGTAGGAATAATATATTTTTTATATAAAACAATAACTCAATTATATTTCTACTTCAATTTTATAAGTCCTATCTTACAATTATAGTAACATATATGTCATTTCATAAGTCATCAAAATTAAATTTAAATATCTTGCTTGGTATCTCTTTTAGCAGAATTTAAACATTCCGCGCATACAGATGAATTTCCGGTTTTCTGGACCCAAACATGGCTGCCATAGGGACGGTGTCTGTACTCTTACTAGAGGTACTCTAATAAAAATTTCTGAACCTTCGCTGATGACCGCTCTCAGGTTTCTCTCTGGATATACTAGGGCTGCGTTCCGTTTCACGCATCGAGCACATCGATCGCAACCAATGCGTTGCGCGCATTGATATCGTTCCGTTTTCGTTAATGCGCCTATGCGCTTTTGGAAACGGAACGACTTTTGATGCGTTTGATGTGAAAGGAAAAATGGATGCTACCATGGTCACAATGGACATCGAAACACATTGACAACAATAGCCTTATTTTCATTAGTGAATGATGACAACAGAATTAGCAGCAGCAGTAGCAGTAGTAGTAGTGAGTCTATATTTTATCAAGAAATCTTGATCTGTAGAAAAATATTCACACACATGCATTAATTTAAAAATACAATTGAATTGTTTTTAAAACTTTAAAATTTCAATTTTACCTTTCGATGCTCTTAACGCGATCTCTTTTTCGAGAAACAGTGATCATTTCGTTATCCACTAATACGGGGAATTCAACTTTGTCGACTTTGTCCATTGTACGTATCTGTGATTATCTGTATGTTTAAAATAAAAAAATATCGGTACGTTAAATATATCAGTCGTCACGTCACGTTGTCAGTATTTAAATAGGGTTATATAAAAGATTATATATACTAATCTGCGCATGCCCGCATCAACTGCTTCTAGTCCGAGCTGTAGTAGCTGATACGCGCTTAATTCGATAGAGGTAGGGGGATTCTAGGGAATTCTATACGCCACCAATGCACGCATGAGCTGAAACGGAACGGTTCTCAATGCAGTTAATGCGCTCGATGCGTGAAACGGAATGGATATACTATGTCTATTGTATATACAGAGCCATCTATTGAAGAAGAAAGAGAAGAACTACGACAGATTTCCTAACCTCAGAACTATCACTTTTCAGCACTTCAAAACTCTTATTTCATTTGAGAGCGACACTTTTAATTTTCAGATTTATATTTTGCGCATTACAATATGCAATATTCCAAAATTTCAGCCAAATCAGTGAGAGAGCCCATCTTCTTCACATTTATCAGAAATAGATATACAATTGAGAGTTAGTGGGGAAAAAGGGGAAAAAGGGAAGAGAATCAGTGCAAGTTAGTGCAGCTAGTTCCGCAATAGAAACAAACCTAAAAATGTTCTTATGACGTACGTAAGCCAAAGGTGACCTTGTTTAATGTATTTGTCTAATGTATTTGACTTTGTTTAATGTATTTAATAAGCACTGGAAATGTAAAGCAATTTGTCAAAAATTTATCGTGAAATCTCATCGAACATACAGATACTTGCAAAGCAGAGAGAAGGACAAAAAGAAATACACACTATCATTTTCATATAGACAAATTATCATGTCCGCAATCAACATAAAGACACTTATCCGACAAGATGTCCTAAAATTTCTAAATTCATTTGACACTATTCTGTCTGATTGCGACGGTGAGTAAGAATCATGTTGGAATATATTTGCATGATGATAATTTTGCAGATCTTGTTTTTAGGAGTGCTATGGCTGCACACAACACCTCTACCAAATGCATCAGATGTTCTAAATCTGTTTCGCAAGTTGGGCAAACGAATTTTCTATGTAACTAACAACAGTACGAAGACTCGTGATGAATTAGTAGAAAAATGCAAAAGTCTACAATTTGAAGCACACAGAGATGAGATTATATGTACTGCTAATCTGTCAGCTCGTTATTTACAAAGTAAAGCTTTTACTAAAAAGGTATTTGTCATCGGTTCTAAGGGTAAGATTTATCTCTTTCTCTTTATGAATTAGTTGTATAATACAATATGAATTAAACATATACAATTGCTTTTAATTTCAATATCTATTATCATCATATAGCGATTGCAAAAGAATTGGAACTAGCAGATATTTCCTATTGCGGAATAGGACCAGATATAATTATTGAGAACAAGTCATATCACGTTTTTGAGAAAGATCCTGATATATCTGCAGTTATAGTTGGTTTTGATGAGCACTTCAGTTATCCAAAAATGATAAAAGCAGCCACATACTTGAACGATCCCAATGTACATTTCATTGGGACTAATACAGATGAGAGATTTCCGATTGATAATGACATTGTTATACCTGGTATGCATCAAAACATATTTTATGTAGATATATAAATAGAATATACTTTAATGAAATGCCTATAATGTTTTAACAACAGGTACAGGAAGTCTAGTTAGATGTATAGAAAACTGCGCAGAGAGGAAAGCAATAATTATGGGTAAACCGGAGGAATACATGGCCAAAGTGTTGAAAGAACAATATAAGATTGAGCCGACGAGTACTCTAATGATTGGAGATCGGTGCAATACTGATATACTGTTTGGAACCCGTTATGGTTTCACGACTTTGCTAGTTCTAACAGGAGTGAGCTCTTTATCGAATATTGAAAAATGGAAACAATCGAAGCAGCAGGAAGAGCGAGATTTCGTGCCGAATTACTATATCGATGCGCTTGGAGACATGTTATGTTACTTGAAACAACTCGAAATCGAAGCATCATAAGTTCATAGAATTAACTTTATAATCTCGCGGTTGATGGAAGGCGAATGTGAACATAAGTTGATGTATGTAGGGTTAGAAGGATATTAAAATTCGCATTTGCAATTTATCTTAGTGTATTTTCTACGCAAGCATCTCGCGAGGACGATACAATGGAGGCATAGTGAAATGAACAAGTAATTGAAGCGCATGTGTATGTTTTTAAGTCTTCCAACCCCATATTTATTTTGGCAATGCTTTTTATATGAAAAAAAGTACACCATTTTCTCGAGAAAAATGATACACGTTTCAGACGGATAGATAATAATGTAGGAAAAAGAAAGCAGATATAAGGATAAGGGGAACAGCCTGATATGTTTATGTATATATATATATGTGTGTGTATATATATATATATGTGTGTGTGTGTGTGTGTAAATTTATAATAATATGCTATTCATACGTGCGCGCGCGCGCACGCATATGTGTGTGTACGGTTTTTTATATCATATATTTTATATTTTCTACAAGTTTACCAGGATCCTTCGATTCTCTCATTTTAATTTGCGCAAAAGAACATTAGGTGCACTTGCTTATGTCTTACATAACATTCAAATATTGATTTCGTAAGAGAGTTTACCTGTTGTTGAGTAAACCTCTTAACAACAAATCTATTAACGGCTTCGATGCAGTATATTGTAGCGGGATGACGTAATAACATTCATTTACCAACGTACATAATGATCGTAATGAATAATTACAAAAAGGCCGTTCTGAGAACAATCAAATAATCGGGCACGAGTTTCCCTCGATATAATACATTTCTGGACTACGTACGGAAAATTCTAGGACAAAATAATGCGCGCTTGAAAATGTTTGATCAAATCTCAATGAAAATGACGCTTCGCAACATGTCAGTCGACGAGAAACCTCGCCTATGGAGTAATGATTAATTAATTAATTGGCTTCTCGCGCATCGGTAATTATTTTCACGGGATAATTACCGTAGACACTTTTTGTAGACTAGGAAGAATTCCGCGCAAAATTCTAACGATTAAACACGATTCTTGTTATTTCCTTAGCGCATTTCCTATGCCTTTTCTCCTATCTTTATATACCAGATCTAACAGTCGGAATTCTCTCATCATTCGTCTCGTTCCTCACATTTAAACGCGACATATTAGTAGTAATGATTAGTTAATTGGCACAAGTTATCTCTCGCGTGTATATATACTTCGATATATCAAGCGATACTTGAACACGATGAGAGTATCTGAATAATTTGCGATTTTGATGCGTGGATAAGCGCCCATGTGCAATTGTAAGGGAAAAAGAGTAAGGTAGTGACAAGAAGAAGACGAAGACGAAGAAGAACGCGAAGATTTTCGCATATATATACTTCTTTTCTCATTCGCAGTTATCTATCTAACATTCCCAGAAAACTGTCACGAGAGTTACCGCCGCAACAATGCGTATTATTTGTATGTTATGTTAACTTCGTCCTCAAATAGTAAGTCTGTTACGACGAATTGCAAGCACGTAACGAGCGCTGCTAACGAGAGAGGAAGAGAAAGTTACGATGAGTCGGCAAACCTGTATTAATTTATAATCTTAGTGACAAGTTACGCGAATTGAGGTCTAACAAACCTTATTGTGTGGCGCTCGCTCCAACTAAATCTCTCACATGTTATATGCACCGCTAAAGGACAAGTCATGTTTTACAGTGAATTGGTAAGTCACACGCATCACAGGCATATTCCAAACGACACAAATGTCTAAAATATATCTTAGAGACATCTAAAAAATATCTAAAATAAATAAAATGTCTCTAAGACGTCTTTCAGACAATTATATTATGTGGGGAGATTATTCCTTAAAAGACCAAACCACCAACCACGGTTGACTCGAAAATTGCGAGATTTGATTGTACACGCGCGTAAAACACTTGCGACTTCGTCAGAAATGGGTGACTTCGCAACCGTACAGAGTGACTCAAATGTATGTCGCCGCCACTTCGGAGATACACAATGCTCTCTGATCAGTGCTGGGTAGTACCTAGATACCTCCCGCGCACCCGAGCCAGTATCTGAGATACATTCGAATTGGGTGACTGTATCTAGATGCAAAACAATAATCTGAACGGCTTTTCAGATACATTTTCACGTATTTTTGTCAATAACAAAAAAAATGATAAAAATGCCGAATAGGGAACCCCTCTCCTATGACCTTGACCTTGACATATGTTGTCAAGGACACCTTCCTGAGTAACGTGCAAAAGGTTTTACCCGTCGCTCGTTGTTTGTTAAAAAGTTATTAGCAAAAAAAATTTGGTTTATACGTAAGTTACAAGTGCGTTTAGCACGGCGCGCTACGCGTGCCCCCTCGCCTCTGCCTCATCCCCCGCCTCACCCCGATCCCTCCTCTCTATGCTAAACGCACTTGTAACTTACTACTTTATCTCTATGAGAAAAAGTTGGAAATGGAAATAAAGTTAGATTAGATTACGTTATATTGTAGTTCGATCTGTTCCTGTTCGTGTTGTAAACAAATTCGTAAATATTTGTTTTGAAACGTCTAGAGGTTGTCGCTGTTGTTCTTAGCATTTGGGTAATATAACTCGTTCAGTTACTGGAATGTCTTCATACAGTGAGCATTGTATAACGAATACTTCTAAAATGCGTTTATACGAGTTTATTAATATTATATGCAATTTTGACTCCATGTGGAATTACTTATGTGAAAAGAAAGTTGTTCGCAGTAGAATATTGTGTCCTAAGTATAAAAACGAATTGAAATTACCGAATAATGCAAAAAATCATATTTTTCACTGTACTCATAAATATTATAAAGTTCGTGCACAATGTAATATAACTTAATCTAACCTTATTTTCATTTCTAACTTTTTCCCATAAAGATAAAGTCGTAAGATACAAGTGCATTTAGCACCGGGAGGAGGGGCGGGGGAGGGTGGGGGATGAGATAGGGGCGGGGGGGGCGCGCGTAGCGCGCCGTACTAAACGTATTTCCAACTTGTGCATTTATAAAAATTTTTAGCAATAACTTTTTAACAAACAACGAGCGACGGCTAAAATTTTTTGCACGTTACTCAGGAAGGTGTCCTTGACAACATATGTTAAAGTCAAGGTCATAGGAGCGGGATGCCCTATTCGGCATTTTTACCAAAAAAAATATCGTAATAATAATAAAAAGTTTAGCATGCACTCTTGATTTGCTACAGGGAGAGAACTATTGTTATTTAAGATATGTTTTGCCAGCTTTACTATAATTTAAAATTAATTTACAGACATTTCACGAATTACCTAGTTGCGAACTCTTGAGAATTACTCTAAATAGATGGCATTAACAAAAGATTCGGGAATTTTGACTGTATTGAATTTTGACAGTATGTGCAGTAAACCTTACATTATTTCATCTGTGACTGTTCCTAAACTTAAGTTGAAATGGCTAAACTTGATTCCGGAAGCAGGGATTTTTTCAAAAACGACCCTGAACCACGAATATTATAAAAACTTGCTTATTACAGAAGCAAAGAAATATGCGTATTTAAAAAATAAAACTAGAATATCTTCTGATGGCTTTTCAGCATCTTCCGTGGAAAATGAAAAATCTTTAAATTTTTAAAAGACCAAGATAACCTGGAAACAATTGACAGTGCCATCGGCATGGAAGTTCTCTCTTATTTGTCAGATAAGCAAAAAGATATCGCATCGATAGCACGTTATTCTCATATGAAACATTTGTTTTTCAATACGATTATATCATCATCAGCACTGGTTGAGCGTTTATTTAACATTGGAAGTCAAATTTTAATACCGCGGCAAAATCGATTAAGTGACGATATGTTTGAGGCATTTTTTATATATAAAACTATCGACCAATTTGTGTAATTTTAATATAAACAAACAATATTAATAAATAATAAAAGATTTGTTCAGTATATTTTATACATATTATCATTGCTACGATAAAATATAATTTAAACGTATCCGATATGTACCTGAGATACTTTTCAGCTATCTGAGTATCTGTATTTAAATACATTTAATTTATGCATCTGTATCTAGATACGTTTTCCACATATATCTATATCTGTTTCGAGATACATTTGAAATATATCTTGCCCATTACTGTTTCTGATATGAGAGAATTATTAAAGGGAAAATGTCTTCTCCATTTTTTTACAGATAAATGTGATATTTCTAAGCAAGAGTACTTGTACTCGTAAGCAAGAGTAATACTATTCTTGAAAAATATATCGCGATACGAATCGTCAGCTATTATTATCGGAGGTGAAAGTATAAAGATATCGCGTTTCACGTTTTCTAGAATTTGTATGAGCAAGTTTTAAATAAATCTCTTACATTAAATACTCGTTCTATTTTTCTGCCTGAGTACTTCTTTTTCGGGTATTTATATATACGATTCCACACGTATTCTCCTTCTCGAATTTTCCTCATTTTTAGCCGAATTGTTCCTCCAAAACAGTTATTTCGATTGTCTGAAACTCCAAGAAGTATTAGTTCTTAAATTACATAACGAATGAAATACGAAATAATTATACTATATATGTATAGTAAAACGAAATAAAAGATATATATATATATATTTTTTTTATTATTTTTTAAAATAAAAGATATATATATTTTTAAATTTTTAAATAAAAGATATATATATATATATCTTTTTTTCGTTTCACTTACACGCTTCGAAACATAAATATTCAACCGTTGCGTCAAATGATCACAAAGTAATGAAATTACATACTTCATAAATTATCAAAATCAATCAAATAACTACGAGCTAGATTTCAATTTAAATTTCATTGATTTTCCTTTTCTCTCTACACGTATTTAAAAACCAGAATCAAACGACGTAGATTTGAATTACTCTGTAATAATGCTATGCTATAACCGAAAGAGATTTGTTCGTTCTGCTGGAATGTCGCTGTGCATAAAACGCTACCGCTATGATTGTCGACCAGACAAAAATCGAACATTTATACCTCTCATATTTTGTGAAATGGACGAAATAGGGAAGGATGCGTTTATCATGTTTTCAGATACAGTAGAAGAATATGTTATGTGATATGCGTGTATGTGTGCGTATGAA